CAGGACACAATCCAATCTTGTAGACTGAGTCCTGCCTCACTAACACAACTGCCGCCCATCCTCCCTCATTAACATCATAGCGGCAGGATTTACAACATATAGGAAAATCACACAGTACCGGGGAATCATGGCCCAGCCAAACTGATGCACACATTTTTTGGGGAACATAATTCAATCCCTGACAGACATGTTATCAGGAGGGACCAGTCCCTGGAGAAGGACACCATGCTTGGTAAAGTAGAAGGTTGGCTAAAAGAGAATGACCCTCAACAAGATGGACTGACACAGTAGCTGCAACAACGGGCTCAAGCATAGCAACGATTGTGAAGATGGCATATTCCATTGTACGTAGAGTTGCTATGAATCGGAACTGACTCAACTGTACCTAACAACAACGAGTTGGAGCAGTTTCTATATCAGCAATAAACGCTGTTTTGGATGTCACTGTACCTCACATGATCCAAAAAAGATTAAGGTAGGTGTGTGTATGTGTGTTTAGGTTTTTTGATTTTGTTGTGATTGTTTTGGGTTGTTGTTTCTACATGTTTTTAAATAAAGACAATGAAAAGGCAAAGGTTACATCTGATTCCTGGCTTTATTTCACCAGATCCATAGGGCCTACTAAAATCTATAATTTATAGAATATAATATCTAAAAGTTTTAAATGGCAATGTTTTATAAAGCAAAATAGAAGAGATTTAACAGTAAAAATATGTATTTTCCACTAAATTGGTACATCACTGAGTATGACAAAGCTTTTTGGCAATGTCAACCCACCACTTTTCTTATAATAATAACACCAGGAGATAAGTGGGCCTGGACCTTCCTTTGCTTCGCTCTTTTTTACACCACTGTGTCTCTAGGCCACTGTGCGGTTCTCTGGGATATCTTTCTACGTACTTCCTGTGTGGGCGTCCATGTTTAGTGACTTGTCCGTCTGACCCCATAAGTGCATTTCTTTTGTGTCTGTCTCTGTGCCTTGGTCTCTTCTCAGTCTCTTCCTTTTGCTCCTTCATGTTGCTCTTCTTTCTCCAAATCTTCCATTTACGTTTCTCCAGTTATACCTTCCCTGTCATATTCTCTCCCTCAAATGTATTATAAAGTGTAATTTAGTTCTTTTCTTCACTGTGCCCTGTACGTTTTCATGGGAAGTTACATTTACTCATTTATGTTAAATATAGGCTAAACATGTCTTTTAAACATATTTCTCATTTTTGGGCAAAAAAGAAAGTTTTTTTTTTTTTCTCATTTGGTTCTGGCTATTAATTTCTATGCTTCATGGCTCCTAATGAATGAAAACAAAATGGCCCATTCATGCCCTACACTGGCCTAGGGATGAAAATTAAAGGTACAATAGATATACATAATAAGGACATGTGAAAGGAAGGTTAAAATGATAGATGGAAAAGTTATCATTGGAGTCTGATATAAAACATATGCGTGCATTGCCTACCTCTCAGGTAGACACAGAAATTTACAGCAATAGAAAACAAATTAATCCCTTCTTGCCTGCCTCACATCCCCATCTTTCTGCAAGAAATTTTTTAAAATATTAATAATAACAACCACCAGATAAAAGTATTAGACCTACAGAGACTTTTAGATGCTCTCATTTAATCCTGCAGAATTAAACAATATTTCAACGTCCCCACAACTCAGAAAAGAATGCTTCCTATAACAATTAATGTGAGGGCCATATTTAGAAAATTGGGAAGCAGAAATAAATTGATTCATAATCTACCACTATTGTCTTATTTTACCTCTTTCCTATTTCCCAACCCACATCAACAATTACAAACCTACAAGATATAAAGTTATTACATTAGATGTACCTTTTATAGATTATTAAAAGTAAGAGTTAAAAGTATACATTTTATTTGACACAGATTGTTTTAATTAAAATGGGAAGATTATATTTGCTTTGGATCAAATACCAGGGAATTATCAAAATTGACTTTTCTGATAAAGCCAAAGGGGACCAGCGAATAGAGATAACCAGTCTTATTTTTTTCCCTGAAATGTAAAAAAATAAAATATATATATTATTTGAGTCTCAGGGATCATGAATATTTTACTACTTTATATCACTTATTTTGCCCCTTTGGTACAAGTAGGTTGTCTAGAAATCCTATCTGACAAGGATTAAGGGGAGAGTTGTTCCATTAAGCTTACTGCAACAGTAAATATCAGTTAACTCTCAATTATCAACTGTTTTGGATCTACTTTTTGGATTGCGCAAGAATCCTGAGAAATTCTGTGGTACTGTGAGCACCTGGTAGCATCTTTCTGTTTTCCTCTAGAGTCAAAAATAGGTAGCATTAGATTATTCATTTGTGCTAGCTGTATTTTCCCTCTCTTCTATTTGTATTTCCATTTAGGCAAAGTAAAATATCAAGGTTAGTGTAACTCAGGAGAATGTCATTCTCTAAATTAGAGTTGAGATATGGTTAATACTACATGGAGGAATTCAATCTTTGGCTCCCTAAAAGCTATAAACAGCCTGGATCACTTTTCTACATTCAAGCTTTGTTTTAGAAGTGCACAAAGCTGGTTTTGGAGTCGGTTGGGGAAGTCTGTGACATATAGCACACAGACTGATTCCAACAGATGGATTTTTCTTGAAATAACTTCATTAGTTAATCATTTATTTTACACATACTTTTTCTAGCTAATTGGCATAGCTGCCAGCTGCAGCTGCTAAGGATTCTCCAAAGATGCTGGTAGGTAGGGGGGAAATCCTATAATTTCACTAATTCTAGCATGAAGCCTCCATTAACCTCCCACAAATAATTATGTATTTTAAAACTGAAATACTTTTCCTGGGGTGGGGGTAGGGGAGAACTTTCTCTAACTTACTCCAAAAACCTTACCTGGACTGTATTTTAACCATATTAAACATCTGGAAGAAAATTCAAAACTTCAATAAATTATCTAGATCAGGGTTTCTCAGCCTTGGCACTATTGACATTTTGGGCCAGGTAGGCCTTTGTTCAGGGGTGGAGGGGATGTTCTGTGTATTGTAAGATGTTTAACAGAATTCCTGGTTTATACCCAATAGATGCCAGTAGAATCCCCCAGTTGTGGCAACCAAAGGTATCTCCAGATACTGCAAATGTCCTTTGTGGGCAAAATCACTCCAGTTGAGAACCATTATTCTAGAAATACGTTGTTCCTAATTTTTAATTTAATTTTTAAAATAATTTTAAAAACCATTATACATATGTAGGTAGGTATTTAACTCCAGACAAGTCTAATATATTCGAAATCACTGTCTTTCAGTCAGGTAAATGAAATGTTTGGGGAGAGATTATTTCAGTGAACGAATGCTTTCAGAAACCCCTCTAGTTATAAAAGAGAAAAAGACAAGGTGAGTGGCTTATAACTACCAATTAATATTAATTATCCAAGGAGCACCATCATTATCTTCATCATCAAAAATATTGAGAATTTCTTTTCCTTTAAGGAATGTCATCATGTGGTGGCATGAATAGATAAATAACAAAATCATGTGCTGAAATTGTTGGAGATGTAAGTAATTACCAGCTTAGGTAAGTGAGGCATTTTTAAATAAGAGAAAACAGTGTAATTTAATGAAATGGACATTATTATGGATTGAATTATATCTTCCAGAAAGATATGTTGAAGTCCTAACCATTGATACTTATGAATGTGACCTTGTAGGGTCTTTGAAGATGTTGTCAGTTAATATGAGGTCATACACAAGTAGGGTATGTTCTGATCTTATCTGAGTCGTGTCCTTATAAAAGAGAAGAGACACAGATACAGGCAGACACACAGGGGGAAGGCTGCTATGTGAAGATGCAGCTATAAGCCAAGGAATGCCAAGAAACACCTGGGGTACAAGAAGCCAGGAGAAACGAGAAAGGATTTTCCTCTAAAGTCTTCAGAGAGAAGACGATGCTGCTCACACCCTGAATTCATGCTACCAGCTTCCAGGACTGTGAGACAATAAATTTCTGTTTCTTTGTTATGTTAGCCCTAGGAAACTAATACAGACATCGAGAAAACTAAGATCTGTATAGAATTTACTATCTACTTCTGGAAAGATCTGGGGCTCGTGAAAGGATTAGTTAGTCAAATACATAAATTTATGGTCTTTGAAATTCAGTGGTAAAAATACTTACTGTCACCTAGTTATCACTTACTGATTTGTCTGCAATTTATGGGTGGCACAGTAGTGTGTGATGGGCTGCTAACCAGAAGGTTGATGGTTCAAACCCACCCAGTGGCTCCCCAGAAGAAAAGGCCTGGTGATCTGTTTTTATAAAGATTAAGGCCAGGAAAATCCTATGGAACAGTTCTACATTGTAACACATTGAGTCGCCATGAGTCGGAGGCCAACAGGACAACGGCCAACAACAGGAAGAGCATGATAGAAATAAGATGTTAATTACCATGGCTTTTAAAAGGGAAGCAATGAGCCTGTTTTAGTTTGGAGTGAAGGTAAGAATATTATAACTCGAAATATGTATTATTATACACATAGAATACATATACCTACTTCTAAATTCCAACCTAATTATTTTCTTTGCAGCAAAGCCTTTATAATACAGACTTACTCGAGCAAACTTTTAGTATAAGATAAAAAATAAATTTTAACATTTATAAAGTCCATATTTCAACATATATCCCCCCCCATATCAAGGTATTTACCTAAAAATTTCATAGTAACTTTTATGTTCTGTGTTAGACTTTCCAGAGATAGTTTAAGAATTTAGATTTTAAACTTTCTTTCTAAAAATATCACTCTTCCTTTTTATATGTTATATTGTGCCGACTACCATTTTTATCTCTTTCAGTTTACACTGTTTTGTTTAGCATGGCAAAAGTAAAACAACTCACTTTTTTTGCATTTTGAGATTTCAACTAAAAGGACTAGAGATGATGTAGTAAGTGCTTTAACTGTACATACTGGACTTAATTTTCTCTTTAAGTCATGCACTAAAATGTCTGGCTCCCAACATGGCTTAAACACTTACTCTCTGCGGGCTCTTTAGAACGTCGGCCGCTGGAGGACTTCCTTAGCAGGCTACGTCCTGAGGTAAAGAGGCTGGTAAGTTCTTCCAAAGGACTTGTGGGTGTTCTGGACCGGGAACCGCTCTGAGCCGCCCCGTAGGTGTTCACTGAAGCATTGACCATCTTGGCCCCATCTTGAGACACTGGTCTGGGGGTCGAATGAGGCACTGATGGAGAGCTCCTTGAAAGGCTGCCGGAATGCACAGCGTCATAGGGAGGAGGCCTTTTGAGGCTTAAGGGAGTAAGGGACCTCCCCATGCTAACAGGTGAAGGAGAAGCAGAATGACTTTTAGGATAGCCGTGTGGAGACTGAGTTCGGTACAAAGTGGAAGGGTGGGGAGGGGACGAGGAGAGCACAGAAGCAGCAGAAACAGGTCCTATGACTCCGGTCTGGTCTTTCTCCAGCTTGGGATGGCCAGAGGTATGTGATGGCAGTGAGGATGGAGAAGCTCCAGCCTGTTGTTTCATATAAGACACATTTTCCAACACAGGAAGCTTTGTGACCTCGAGTGGAGTGAGCGGAGACTCGTCAGAATTGGGGGAACACTGCACGGGAGCTGGTGGGAACACCAGGAGTGGAGGTCGGTGGGAAAGCAGATTGGGGAAGGGCGGGGGGATGTCACAAAGCAAACCCTTTGGAGTACATGGCACTGAGGACTTGGCGAAGTCCAAGTCAGGCACTGTGGGGGTAGCACACTGCGAAGAACAACTGTGATGGTCAAAGTCACATTTGGAGTCTTGACCTAAGTCGTCGAAGATGGGGTATTTCATCTCCTCATAGACTGCCTCACTCTGGTCGTCCTCCTCCTTCCGGAAGTCTCTGAGAATGTTGCCTACCATCTCAATGTACACAGGCTCCTCTTCCTCAGTGTCGCCCGCAGGGCTGCTCATCTGGGATAGGGAGGAGTCCCGCGTGAGCGATGTCCTCCTAGGTCCATGCTTTTTGATATACGTTTCATCGAAAGACGTGCTAAGCTGAGTGTTTGGATTTCGTTTGGGTTTCGGGGGAGGAATCTTCTTAGAATATTCATCACTGTGGGGTCTGGGTTTGGCCGGTACTGAAAGAAGAAAAAAGAAAAAGTTAAATAGATGAGTACAGTAAGAAAGAGTTAAAAACAAAGATTTGCACTTGGATGTACTACTATAAACTTTTCTTTTCAGGCTTGAGTTTAGCCTAAAAATCAAACAAAAATGTCTAACATCTCCCATATTTAGAAAAAAACCTGATAATAGAGCAATAGTAATACTTATCTTCAAACTAATATTAATAAACCAATACTTATAAATGCAATGAGACCAGGATTATTTGCCCCCCTGCCTTGGAATTTCCAGATAGACACATTCAGATGAAGCATGTTGGATAACAGCAATCACAAATTTCATAAAAGTTAACTTCCAAAAATTAAGCAAGAAATAAACTGAGGAAAAAAATTTAAATCTAGAGTTTTGGTTCACCCAAATGGGCACAAAAAATGATATTAACCATTGCGATAGGGCCGTTTTAATGATGTGGCTGTTACAGATGATCACCTCTTGCTTGCATTTATGATAAAAATTTCCCAGTCTGCTAAACTTAATTTCTGTCGTGGTTCAGATAAATAACTTCTATAAAGATGGGTCTGATGCTTCAGGCGAAATTGATGTGAAAATCTCATGAGGCTAAACAAGTTAATCTCCAAATCTCCAGGTACTGTTGATTATGGTTTATTTGTCTGTTTTTGTTCATAGGATTTCATGATATCCCAAATGCTGTCTTGGAGTGAATTTATTAGATATATTCTACTGACACATCAGGACCTCCTGAAGAGTTTTCGAAGATAATAATCCATGGAATGACGTGAAAGCTTCAGGAATAACTTCTGGAAACTCACAACAGAAATGTATATCAGAGCATTCCACTGCCTGTGGAACTCTACATTTTCACAGAATTTATATTTCTGACACCATACAGTAGAGTGGGACAGGCTGGCAAAATGTTTATGACTGAAATCAATTGTTTAGTATGCACAGAAGATGCTGGAGTTTTGTTATTATCTCATTATCTCATTGTGCTGATATATGCCTACAATGATTATCGTTATTATGCAATGTAGCAGGATACAGCTGCTTGCAATAGATGGTACATACAATATAAGCTGACAATATAGCTTATAGGTATAAATACATGAGAAAATACCAGTCGTCTCTGTAATTTGCAGCTCAAAAGGAAGGATCTCAAGACATGAGTCAGGGAACACCCGAAATCCCCTTCGTTCTTCTTTTTCCCAAATAGCATAACTTACGACACAAAAGTTTTCATAAAACTTATTAAAGGAGAGGAAAGTGCTTAAACAAGAGTTTGGCGGCTGCTGTAAGCATCAATCATAACTTTGGAGAGAGGGAACCTATGGAATATTCCAGTAGTGACTACGTGTCTCCACATTTCTAAGTGATTCTTGATTTGAAAAATTCTGCCCCATTGTGCCCATGATTTTTCTAACTACAATCAAACGATTTTTTGAAGGCAAAATTATTAGTGTGTTTAGACTTTTCTCTTTGCCCATACTAGGAAAAACTAGATGTCGTTTTCCAGGGGGCTTTACAGTGGAGTCTTTTGGCGCCAACAGTGAATATTAGACTATAACTGCGCAGATAATCATTCTGAGGGAAAGACCCTAAGCAGTCAATGGCTCCTCCCTGTACCTCTGAACTTGGCTTCTGTTTTTACTGGTTTTTCAGTATATCCTGTATGTTAACTTTTACATCGTTTAAATAAGTCATCAGATTACATACAAAAATCCTAGCTGAAATAAAGGAAAGCCATAACTCAATGGACAAGGTTGACTTACTACTGGAGGGATCTTGAAGGGCTCAGGTCTTAGGTTCTTCTTGATCTGACTCTCCAACATCTGGTTTCTACCAAGGTACATGCTGTCTGAATCTGGCCCATTTTCTTGGCGGTGGTGGTGGTTTTGATGTGTGCTTTATAGTGGTTGTTATGGTTTTGTTTTGGCATACTGAGACTTCCGGCTCCACTCAGTTCTGCTTGTCCCACAACTCACCAGCTGAAACAATGCTCATGCCAGCTTTGCCCAGGGAAACCCTTACCTCTGGGCAACGTCCTCCCTCTCCCCCTCTCTCCCTCCCTACATGGTGAAAACAGCTGAATGCAGGCAGATCCATATAATTCAGGTAAACTTTTTTTTTTTTTCCTGGTGCTCCTTCATATTGATCCAAACTGGAAATGAGGGTTTAAAGTTTATTTTGAGAGTAAAGTGATAAGTAAATTACAGATGTCTAGGATGAATAAACATATTCATCTCTTCAATACTGGGAAACATTTTTTTCCAGACAATATAATATCTGCTTCCCATTCAATACCCCTTTTTCAATCTTATGGTTCTTCCTGGAAAGTCAGAGGAGGACAAATTTGCTGTTGAATGGACTGATTTGTCTCACCATTTGCCTTAGTTCAAGTATTGAGTAAGTAATTCGTAAAGCAGCATATAGCAGCAGTGGAAATGTATTTCAACTTTTATCTATTTATATATTTTAGTTTACTTGTATAAGGAAAAGTCTGAAATTTTAAGCAACATTGTCCCATAATTTATTCTAATTTAACTTCACTCAAGCGTTGGTGGTGCAGTAGCTAAGAGCTCAGCAGCTAACCAAAAGGTCAGCAGTTCAAATCCACCAGCCACTCCTTGGAAACCCTATGGAGCAGTTCTACCGTGTCTTTAGGGTCTCTATGAGTTAGAATCAACTCAACAGCAATGGGTTTGGTTTGGTAGCTAGGGAGTTATAAAAGTAAAGAAAAATTCCTGTTTTAAAGTCATTTCTTTATAAAGGACCTGAAAATAGTCTTTATACATACATACATAGATGATAAAATACTGCTGATAAAACATAATAAAAATTGCATTGCAAATTTCATCATTTAACCCAATTCAACCACAATACAAGGATGATTTTTACTGCTCTTGAATGAATTCTGAATTATTTCTAATAAGCCCAAAGATAGAAGCAATAATTTCTGTTCAGCTCCATAACACAAATTTTAATGCTTAAAATAGTATAATGACAGCAGCATTGAATAAGCAGAAAGTGACATTTTTGAAATGAGATATCTGAGCACAAAGGTTATTCCCGGCTTTGAGTTATGCACAGATGATCATCTTTCACAGTTAATTTTGGAAATTCATATGTCCTTTGTCAACCTATCCTTCTGAAATATTTTTTCTTATTAATAAATAAATAAAAGGTGTAGTGTAATACCATGCTTTAGTATCTGTGGATATTCTTGACCCAAGAAGTGAAAAAAGAGGCTTGGCATAGGTAAATATTACCTCTGATACAAAGACTTTTTAGCCACAGACTCTCAGACTCTGAAGAAATTTTAGAAATTATCCAGCCCAAGCTTCATATATTACAGAAGAAAAAATATAACTTATTTTCAACTATTTTTTTTAGAATATCTAATTTCAATTCAATCTTTTATACCTTTTAAAACAAAGGAAAGCACTAGGGGGAAAAGAACTACATAATTTATTAGCTTTAGATGGTATAAAATACTGTTTTAAATGGTTTTCTTAGCTCATGCTACAATGGGGAACCCTAACTCTGTGTATCTCCTTAAGCCTGTTGCCACTGAGTCGACCCTGTAGAGTAGAACTGATCCATAGGGTTTCCAAGGCTTTAATCTTTACAGAAGCAGACTGCCACATCTTTCTCCCATGAAGTGGCCAGCGGGTTTGAACTAGCAGCTGAGCGCTTTAACAACTGCACCACCAGGGCTCCAATGTCTCCTTAGAGAGGTGTGTTTAAATAGGTCCTTCAAACTGCAAAATGAGAGTCCACTGAAGAAAAGTGATGTCCATACTGTATGATACTGGATCTGGCTGATTTTGGAAGGTGAGAGACACATTTCCCACCTTCAGCAGAATTGTGCTCACAATAACTCTCCTTTCACAACTCACAATCCCAGGGGTTTGAGGTATATTTTTATTTTCACAGTCTCCAGTCCCACAGTACCAACCACAAGTTTTGTTTTTTGTTTTATTTTAGTTGAATTAAGTTGTTTCTTAAGGAATGGAGATTTGCAAAGGCCCTGGTCTATTTACAGTAGAGATAAGAGAGCAAAATAATGTACCAAAAAAAAAAAAAAAAACCAGGATTGGGTTTTGGGTTTTGGAATGGTTGTTTTTGTGTTCCATCGAGTCCATTCTGACACATTGTGACCTTATAGGAGGACAGAGCAGAACTGTCCCGTAGGAACTGCCCCGCAGGGTTTCCTAGGCTGGACTCTTTATGGGAGCAGATTGCCAGGTTTTTCCTCCACAGAGCCGCTGGTGGGTTCGAACCGCCACACCAACATTTTGGTTAGCAGTCAAGGGCTTAACCATTGCGCCACCAGGGATCCTTGTTTTAGAGTTATAGGATTCATATTACATTCCTTAATCTGGTGACAATGAAAATAGAGAGCACGCATGAAAATTTGGATGGACCAAACAAAGTAGAGGCACGGAACTGGTTAAAACATATGGGTCTAAAAATTGAGTGGGACTGAAAGAGCCATGTCAGAAACCTGACTACTCTGAGAGCCACATGCTGTGAGGAAGCCAGAGCTATCTAAGAGGGCGAACAGCCAACAAACCTAGTGGACAATGAAAATAAAGCCCCAACCACATGACCTCTGTAAAGTTGTCTCAGGAATCCCCTGCTGTTTGATCATTCCAGGTGAGATAGGAGACACTTTGGATTGGTTACCAGCCACTCCCACTGTGCCCTGTTGAACTCCTGACCCACAGTACTATGAGAGAATACGATGATTGTTTTTATGTCTCTAAGTTTTGGGGTAGTGTATTATGCAGGTATAGCTATCTGAAACTGATACCAGAAGTATGGCACTGCTGTAACCCAACTCTAAAACTTGTGGCGTTGGCTTTGGGACCGGGTGCGAGCAGAGGCTTGATGAACAGTGAGAAGATCTGTTTGGAGGCTGAAAACGTAGACAAAGGAAGAGCTGTGTTATGTATTGGTGAAAGATTGGTTGGACTATTGCCCATGGTATCATAGAAGA